GTTGAAAGCTATAATATCAGTGCATTGGTGAAGTCCGAGAGGAATACCTTCAAAGTAATTGGTAAAAATAGTTGTTACTGATTGCATGCTGTAGCAATCTGTCWGCATGGTTTCATGCTGTAGCATTTTGACAGCATTGGTCGACTGGAAATAATATTTACTTCTCACCCTAAAAGTCATACACCCTAGCTTGCTTTATATTCTGTTATCTCCTGTTTTTAGTTGTATTAACTCTGTTTTAATCAAAGTCTTCGAATTCGCCTTCTGAAATCATTTCCTTAACTTTACTTTCTTTTAAACTTTTACTACGATCCCTGTGGACGATATCCGGTACTTGTACCACTTTTATTACTTGAAAAACGATATTGAGACTATTTGTATACTTGCTTTTGGTCCTAATTGTTGTTTGTGGATGTGGTATTCCACGGCCCATCAGCTTACTAATGTAGTATATATATATATATATAGAGAGAGAGAGAGAGAGAGAGGTTCAAACTATAGCAAACAAATAAGAGAATACAAGAACGGTCAGATCACATGTGATTTTACATCAAACTTCTGTGAAAGATCACATGTGATTTTGCACGACCTCTTGGGTGCGACAAAGGTCGTGGGCCAAGTGCATGTGCACCCATCTGTTGACCATGTTTCCTTAATCACATATAATTTTTTTTACAAAATCACATATAACTTGGTTGTTTTCTTTTTTATTTATTTATATTTTTGATCATGTTATCGTTTGATCCACCTTTCTCGTTATATATGAATATTTTCCTTTCTATAACGATTATTTTAAAAAGTGAACCAACAATAATGCCTCATATATTTCATAAAATTTAATAGCATGAATATACCTTTTCATAAATATTAGTTTAGCATTGTTGAAAGACATACCAAATTTAAAGTTTAAATTTTAAAATGATAAATTACGAATTCTTTATTAAAATTAACGAATTACTATGCAATTGATCACGGGAAGGATTGACCATACAAGTGGATATCACGGATTGAATATAGAAGTGGATATCAAATCAAATGAATAAATATTTAATTGCAAACGGGACAGGGTGAATTATTAGCATTGAATTTACAGGTGGGAATTATTGAGGACAATTAAAATACATCCAATTTCTTTAGTAATTCCAATATCATTAACATATCCTATAAATCAACCAATTTCAAATTTTAAGATTTTTACCTCCTCACCTTACAATAAAGTTAGCTTTATAGGACATATGGATTGTCTAAGTGTCCAAATAAAATATTTTATTAAATTTTGGTTTATATGACCAGACTATAAAACATCCTATTGAAAAATGTTACAATAGATTTATAAAACGTTTTTAGACGTTTTAACAAGTTTTTTAGGAGTCTTATTAGCTATTTTATTAATTATTTTTCTATAATTAATCTTTTTATGAAACCCTTGTGATTATAGCATACTTTTTTCAAAATTGTAGTATAAATTAGTTAATACTACATGTTTTTATAACAACGTTCAAAAAACTTGTTAAGACGTCTAGAAACGTCCTACAAATCAATTGTAACATTTTTAGATACCACGTTTTTTGGTTAGATCCTATAAACCTAAGTCCTAGAAAGTAATTTTCACGACGCTTTTTAATTTTGAATGTTCTATAAAATTAATTTTATTATAATATCAAAACACTACTAGAATAATGAGTATTTCCGGCGCATTTTCCGGCAGACGGAATTCGCAGGAAATTTACCGGCGAATTTCTGTGGGACAACAAAAAAGTCAACTTATGTTGACTTCTACCGGAAATCCGCCGGAGATCCGCCGGTAAATTTACCCTGATAATATTTCCGGCGGATTTCATAATTACTTATTTTAGTCTTGTATTTAAATCTAATTGCAACAATTTACCGGCGGATTTCCGACAAATATTTGATTATTTTTTTAAAATTAAGATCCGTCGAAAAATAATTAAGAAATACTATTTATTTTCAAAATTTTCCGGCGGAGTACCGGCGGATCCAGGGTCCGCCGGTAATAATTATCCAATTTTTTTTATAAAAAAAGAGTTAACTATTTCCAGCGGATTTCCGACGGTCTTTTCTGGCAGATTTTCATTTTCCCCAATTTTTCAAACTTTTCTTTTTTTGATGGATCGTATTGGACTTTACAGGATCGTATTGGACTTTACAGGATCGTATTGGACTTTAACGGTTCTATTGGGCTTTAGAGAATGTTAGTTGCACTTTAATGGATCGTATTGGGCTTTAACGGTTCTATTGACCTTAACACATCGTATTGGAATTTAGTGGATGTCAGTTGTGGTTTGATGAATTGTATTGGGTTTAACGAACCTATTGTGCTTTAATGCATCCTATTGGTCTTTAAAACATCGTATTGGACTTTAGTGGATGTTAGTTTTGGTTTAATGGATCGTATTGGGTTGTAATGGACCGTATTGG